TGGTGGTGTTGGGTTGACAGTTGGACTTGATGATCTTAGAGGTCTTTTCCTACTTCAATGATTCTGTGATTCTTCGATTCTGTGATTAGAATTTGCATGTGAAAAGAGAGCGCATTCTGTGCCTCTCCTCTCTGCAAAGAGTTTAATTGCATGTGCCCCATGAGTAAGGTAGGAAATCCCCTGGACCCTCTGCTTGACACTCTACCTGAATGTTCAAATGAACCTTTGTGGTGTTTGATGCTCCCAAATTCTGCAGCACCTATTCTGACAAACACTTCTGCATTAAGGTGAAAAGCGGGATGTGCTTGTTCTGGGCTCTGTGCCATCAGCACCGGATAACCCAGTGATTCACGAGTGATTCAGCCCAGTGAATCTGCAGAGACTCAGGAACAGCCTGACAGGCTTTGGAGCAGGTGATCTGCGAGCAGTCATAAATTATTCCTGCGGAGATTCATGTACAGTCAGGTTTTCATCCCATCCTGCTGTAGTAGATATGACAGAATCCCAGCCAGATACTCCATCATTTTTGCACCTGAAACCCTTGGTGTCATTAAGAGAACTTTCCTGTGACATTCTTGTACATTAACTACCTTGACTCAGAGTGAGATATTTTTCCCAGCTTTCCAACATGGCCAGAAAAGTGTGCAGGAGTCCAGTGCTTATGACTGACCATTCTTAGGTGACGTACCCTGAAATGGTGGTGGTACAACAATGCCTCCTTGTGACTATCTCCAAAATGCATCTTTACCTGCACTTCTTTCCCAAGTGTCATTCTTTATTGACAGACAGGAGGGAAATCACCATTCTGTGTGAAATGTGGGTGGGCTAAAAGTAAGAACTTCTCTTGGTTCCCACTGCTTCAGTAAAACAGAGTTTGTGTTAGTGATAAATATGGTGAGATTGAGGAATGCTGAGAAAACAGCGCCTGCACTTGAAAGTTGGAAGTGAAAAGGAGTTGTGGTTTACTGAATATTTGTTTTGCAAAATTGATCTTTTCTTGAAAAGTTCTGTTTGTGTATCAGCTTATTAAAGGAATTAATTGTACCAACTGGGAGAGAAATATCTTATATCCTTCATGTATTTATACAATGCTCTGCTTTTATTTAGGAGCAAGCCTTTGATCCATATGAAACCTTGTCCCAGGATATTCTCTCTCCACAATTTCATGAGCATTTTAATAACTTAATGGCAAAACCTGCTGTTGCTCTCCACTTCCAGGTGAGTGCAAATGAGAAATACTGAATTGCTTTAGTTCTCATATTTCAAAAATTTGTGTTTTATCAGTACTACTTTACTTTTTGCTGAGGAAGAAATCTTCTAGATTCTGACCTTTCTTCAGTGTAAGATATTTGGACCCTTCTTGTAAAAACTGGACATAGCTCTGACCCATCCATGAGTCTTTTGCAGGTTTTTTTGTCCTCACATCAGACTTTCTTGCTTGAGAATAGAGGGTGACTTCTCACCCACTACTACCACTTCTATTTCTGTTTTGTCTTTTAATGCCAAACACAGGCACCCAGGCACAATATTTACATTTTCTTCCATAGATATCCCAGGCTCCCTTTTTCATCAGCTTGGCTGGGACTGGCAGTTTTTCTTAAATCACTTCTTTAAAAGGACTATGCAGCAAGAACATCTGTGATTTTTTAAAAAAATATTATTTTTCATTATTTCCTTCTGTCAGCATGGCAGATCTATTAAAGACTACTGTTCAGAAGGCTGAGCTTGTGTTCAGAAATGCACTTAGGGAAGCTGCCGAGCAAGTGTTTGGTCCGTGGTGCTCCAGCTAAACCCATTATAGTAGGGCTTGGTTTATACAGTTTACTGGGGCCCACGTCTCTGCAAACTGAGATTCCTCCGAGCCATTCCTTCAGGGTGAGTGTTTCTTCTTCAGCTCTGAGTACTTGGTAATCTGGATCATTTCATTTACTTGGTGAATGAAGTCAGGCTCTTTACCCACCTCCTTAGCAAATTTAAAACCCAAAGCCCTGTTCCAGATTAGATTTGTAATAGTCATTTGCCAGTGAATCTGACCACCTTTCTGATGCTCCTCACCATAGGAAAGTTTGGGCTTTCCTAGGGTTGATGTTCCTTCACACTTCTCCAAGCTGTGGAGTGAAGGTGGAGGTCCAAACTCTGGGCCATGGACATGTATGAGATGTCTCTGGCAATTGCAGAGATAGGCAGCCAGAAGTCTTAAATTTGGAGAGAGGTAATTTTCAAATAGGAGATCAGGTAATTAATTTCCTCTTCAATAGTTATCTTGATGTGGAAGATGACAGGGATTTCACCATCCTTTGGAAAACCTCTCCTCATCTTATGACCTGAATTAGTGTGAGTTAACTGCTGGGAATGGGAAAAGATTTTTAACTCATTTTCTAAGTCATAAACTCATGATTCTCAGTTTCCGAGGGAGAGGAGATACTAATATTAATGTCTTCAGTACTTGATAAGACCTACCCAAAATCTACCCAAAGCTGTTGATGGAAAAGGGTGCTTGCAGTGCCTGGAAGAGGGTGTTAACAGGTTCTGTTTGCTTGATGTCAGAGCATTTATGTGGCTCTGAATCTTACAAAGAGTCTCATTAGACAAAAATGTTTTTGCAAACTTTATTGTCTTCCTTACTACGTAGGGTAATGTAAATCAGAAGGGACACCCTGGATGTGACTAGCACAACCATCTTCCTCAAAGCAGTGCTCACTTCAGGTCTTTGTCCAGTCCAGGTCAGTTTTGAGTATTTCAGTGTAAGTAATCCTGTTTATTTTTCCTTTTCAGTCTACTGCTGAAGGGTTTAAAGAAGCTGTACGATACGTACTCCCGCGACTCATGCTTATCCCAGTCTATCATTGTTTGCACTACTTCGATTTACTACAGGTAAATGAAGCCACGCTCTTGTTTCCTGCTAACAGTGTTCCTTAATGAGGAGAATCTGAGCTTTTAAATGGGCAATTAGATTTTACTTACTGCTTCTGAAAATTGAAAGATATGAAAACATTAATTTGACATCTGTTAGTATATGTCTGAAAAGTAAAGTACTGTTAAAAGTCTTCAAAATCATCTGTTGCTCTGATAGGAACATTTGAAGTAACTATATTTTATTAGATAAACCCTTATTGAACTTGAGTTCTAACACAGTTAAAAATGTAATATGCAAATCTAATTTCGTCTTCCCTTGAGTTCTGAATTTTTTTGTCCGTTCAGAAAAAGCTAAGCATAGTTCAGATCAGTATTCTCAGTCTCAAGTTGCACTCCAGTTAAAATAAGCTGATCTTATTTTGGGCATTGAGGAGGCAGTTCCTTTCAGCAGAGTCAGAATAACTCATTCTTAATGTTCAGCCATTTGTCCTGAGTCCTAGATGGAAGAGATACAGCAAAAAATACAATTTTTTCATAAATACCACACTTTCTTCAGTGTGTGATAGTTTAACTTAACTCATAAGAAGTTTAACTCTTAACAAGTCTTACACTGAAACCAAACCACAGCTATTCTAATTACTAAGAAGAAAATTAACTCTATCCCAGCAAAGCCAGGACAGGGAGGAATGAAAATAAGCACTATTATTTTATTATTTTCTATCTTCTAAGAAATGACATTGATGAAATGTCAGGCTTTATGGAATTCTGACTCAGATGATAAAAATCTATTCCAGTATGACATATTTCATGGATCTTGCCATACAAGTTGTTTGGGTTGGTATCTAGTCCATACTTAAGAGCAATTCTGCCTACTGAGGCATGACTTATTTTAGAACAGCCTCTATTAGTTTGACCACAGATCACTTGCACATATTTTATTCTGATGTGCACTAGCAAGGTGGTTCACATCAGTAGATATTTCCCTTGGGTATAACAGCTAAAAGCCAAAAAGTAACTTAAGCATATATCATTTTGCTTACAAGCAAATGTTTTTGCTGTGAGTTATGAGAAGAGAGGCCAGCAGTCAGCAGAAATTTAACATCTGAGATCTATAATAGTCATTCTTGAAAAAAAAAAAATAAAGTTGCTGTAGCAAATGCCTTATCTTGAAGAATACTTAGATTGGAGTTTTTTTTAAGTAGCTGAGAATAATGTAAAAAAAAGTTTCTTGCCTCATTTTGTTGCAAAGGTGTGTAATGCTTATAAGGGTAAGTGAATTATTAACTAACTGGGATATACTTAAATTAAACAGGTGAAATATCCTGTGGCTATAGCTGACATTTTGAAATAGCAACAGAAATTACACTTTTAAGTTCTCAGTGAGTGCAAAAAGTGATACCAGCAGCGTTGTGCAGGTGTGTCATATGGTCTTCCTTCATATTTCAAAGGATTTACTTGTACAAAGGAAGAAAAGGAAACTTTGCAACGTAGAACTTCTGTATAATACAATATAAATTTTTCTTAAAAGAATCTCAAGCCAAAAAATAGCAGTTGTTTTAAGACCGGGTCTCTAGTTAATATCATAGAATCACAGACTGGTTTGGG